TATGTAGGATTGGTCTTGCTGCATGCCCTCTACAATGCCTCATGGGGGTTTCTTACGTTCCGCTTGACTTCATTTGTTTTGCATTGGAATCATTGTTTGCTTTTTTGGCTTACATTTTTTATGAATGAATTATAATGCATCAACAATACGGTGGCACGAGTGTTTGTGATACTTAATGCAGGGCATTCACTTTTCCTTAATTAGAAACAAATATGCGGTAAACTCTGCTGAAGAGGCTTTTTAGCACTGAATAATTTTACATAAATTTGGCTAAATTGAAAACAGGATTTATAGTACCAGTTATTAGAGGATAGCATTAGGGAATCATATAATAATTTATGGAATGCTTTTAGGAAACCATTTTTATTCATACAAAATCGAACCATTAGTCGAGCAAATCTTCTTTTAAAATGTCTCTATTTTGCGTAGAGTCTAAATACAACAAAAACACCTCATTAATCATCATAATTTTTCACCATTCATCACTAATAACTTAATTAGTTATTCATGTCTCTAGAAAATCACTTAGTACCTCTCTCCAGCGCCGGGAAAACATTCTCATAAATCCCATTAGACTTGCCTTATCAGCCATTCTTCTCTTCGCTTGGCTTACTTTGTGGGTTACACCGTACTTTTCAATTTTATTTATTGTACGTGACAATTTTTATGCCCAGTCACTAATTACACTAATTGCATAATGAAACCCTCGAGAAAAGAGAAACATTTTCAAAGTTGTCAATGCGTTGGCGTTACCTTATACAATGATTGCCCCCCAGGCCCAGGCTGAAGTGCAATTAGTTGTGGCCATTACTGGGCTTATTGTCTCGAAAAAATATAATTTTAAAGATTAAAACTCATATTCATCCCAAGTATGGTTTAATCTTGGTTGACATTAGACATGCAATTCATCATCAAATGTTTAGTCAATGTCAAAATAAATGCCGGAAAGAGGTACAAACTAAGCAAGTTCTTGGCTTTAAGAGATTCGCATTAGCTAATAGAAATGACCCTCAATTGTGATGGCTAATGGCTTAATTTTGTGTAGAGTTTGTGTTCTTAGTCTTTTGTTTTAATATCTTAAATTAAACTCACGAATCTTTAATTTCTGGCTTTTAAAAATTGCACAAAAACCAATCTGCCAAAGAGAAAACATTTCTGATTAGATTAAAAATGCCAAATAAATATTATTTCTGTGTTGAAAGTCAATGTTAATGGTTTATGTTACCGCCAATCATTTGTTACTTTCTTATACAAAAAAAATCAGCATGTTGTTCAGCAATCGAAAGCTAACTAAATTTCTAAAGACCATATTTATTTGAAGATGTTTTTACCTTGTTTATTATCTTTGGGGGGTTATATACACAGCTAATTAGAATACGTCTTGCTACGGTGCTAATTGTTGTCTCTTATTTCTTATTTCGTTTGCATTTTGCGCTGTAGAACAAGTTATGAACAATGTGGGGATCATATATAACGCTAATACTCAATGAATCAGAGCTGGTATTGTTTTTTTGTTGCTATTTTGTTGAATTTCTTTTGTCTGTGAGCGATTTTTGCGGCTACAACTTTCGGCTCCCACGCTGTGGTTAAAACAATCAAAGATTCCATCTGTGATTGGATTTAATTAATTACGAGTCGTGGACTCTTCGCAACGGAAATTCTTGGAGTAGAATGCTGATTGGAGCAATACAAATTATAATCGATTACCCAGGGGTTAAGCGAAAGCGTGCCTCAGATGTTGCAAGCATCTAATTGAGATGCCACCCAGATGCAGAAGGCTATTGAAATTTGGGCTTTAAATGGGTGGATAATCATCCACCGGTTTCTGGCTGCTCACGACTCAAACACATTCCTATTATTCGTTTCATTTCAGGTGGCGACGAACCGGTGGGTGCACAGATCCCCTCCATGTTCCTGAATTTCATTGGCAGTGACATTGACTATCGCTACAACACGGAGCCCGAGCGGATGGCCTGCCTGTCCTCCATGGAGCAGCGCTGCTACTGGCCCCGTGGCAAGGTCCTGGGTGGCACTTCGGTGATGAACGGCATGATGTACATACGCGGCAATCGCGAGGACTACGACGATTGGGCCGCACAGGGAAATCCGGGGTGGAGCTACCAGGATGTGCTGCCGTTCTTCAAGAAATCAGAGGATAATCTCGAACTGGATGCCGTGGGCACCGAATACCATGCCAAGGGTGGTCTTCTGCCGGTGGGCAAGTTCCCCTATAATCCCCCACTGTCTTATGCCCTTCTGAAGGCCGGCGAGGAGATGGGCTTCGCGGTGCAGGATCTAAATGGACAGAACTCGACAGGCTTCATGATTGCCCAGATGACGGCCAGGAATGGCATTCGCTACAGCTCTGCCAGGGCTTTCCTGAGACCCGCACGCATGCGCAACAATCTGCACATATTGCTGAACACCACCGTGACCAAGGTGCTCATCCATCCGGGCACCAAGAACGTTGTGGGAGTGGAAGTCAGCGATCAGTTTGGCAGCATGCGCAAGATCCTTGTCAAGAAGGAGGTGATCGTCAGTGGTGGTGCTGTCAACTCCCCACAGATTCTGCTGCTGAGTGGCGTCGGACCCAAGGAGGATCTGCAAAAGGTTAATGTGCGTCCGGTCCATCATCTGCCGGGCGTGGGCAAGAACCTCCACAATCATGTGGCTTACTTCACAAATTTCTTCATCGATGATGCGGACACGGCGCCCCTCAACTGGGCCACGGCCATGGAGTACTTGCTCTTCCGCGATGGCCTGATGTCGGGCACTGGCATCTCCGATGTCACCGCCAAGATGGCCACCCGCTGGGCCGATCGCCCCAATCTGCCCGATCTGCAGCTCTACTTTGGTGGCTACTTGGCCAGCTGTGCCCGCACCGGACAGGTGGGCGAGCTACTCTCGAACAACTCCCGGTCCATTCAGATATTCCCGGCTGTACTCAATCCCAAGTCCCGTGGTTACATTACCCTACGCTCGGCCGATCCCTTGGATCCCCCACGCATCTTTGCCAACTATCTGACGGATGAGCGTGATGTCAAGACCCTGGTGGAGGGCATTAAGATTGCCATACGGCTATCGCAGACCTCGCCCCTGAAGCAGTACGGCATGAGGCTGGACAAGACCGTGGTGAAGGGCTGTGAGTCGCACACCTTCGGTAGCGATTCCTACTGGGAGTGCGCCGTGCGTCAGAACACCGGACCGGAGAATCATCAGGCGGGCTCCTGCAAAATGGGTCCCTCCCAAGATCCCATGGCGGTGGTCAATCACGAGCTGAGAGTCCATGGTGTGCGCGGACTGCGTGTGATGGACACCAGCATTATGCCCAAGGTGACGGCGGGCAATACCCATGCACCGGCCGTGATGATTGCCGAGAAGGGCGCCTATCTGCTGAAGCGTGCCTGGGGCGCCAAAGTCTGACGTGTGGATGCGACGTGGACGTTGCATAGAGTAATTTAATCAAATTCCAACGAAAATTACTACAAATTCAAATTTAAGCGAAAATTATTATTAAGGAAAAAACTCAACCTTTTCTATACTAATTTTAAAACCTTTTTGGCCTGATCCGATACGATATGAACCCATTCTATTCCAACTCTAAGCACTCTGCGTTGCGCAATCAACGACTCCGACAATGACTCTCGATAAGTTTAACCGTTTAACAGGTTCTACCTACTATTATTTAAACTAATTCTTGTGAAAACCACCCCATTGAAATATCCAAATCTCGAATATCGCTCTCTCTCTCTGTTTCTATAATATACTTGTATTTATTGTTCGATTAAAGTGCAACAACTATTTAGTTTAAATACTTAATGATTTGTCATCAATTGGAAAACATTTACCACACGATCGCATATCGAAAGATCATATAAAAGGGTTCCATATTTCCCATAAACCAGTCAGAAAGTCGAAAAATGTTTCGTGCTATATTTGTGCTTGGTTTTGTATCTTTGATGCTGGTTTTTGGCCAGGATATTGTGCCCGATGATCCGGAAAAGCAGCAGGAAATGCATGCATTTTTCAAATCGATCCGAGTGCAATGTGCGGATGAGAATATGATTCCATATGGTAAGCGGGGCATACAATAGATCATTTTAATTGGGCAATCGACGGGGATGAAATGTGTTTCTTTTGTGTGTTTGCATTGTTGGCCAATTTCCGCAAATATTATAACAAATTGGAGCAACTGTGCATTGCATGTTCCAAACCATCAAAATATTTCCTATAAAAGGGCATCAATCCCCAGCAAAAACCAAACCAGAAATCATTTTAGTTCAAAATGCTTTCCATGCTGTTTAAAACGTTGGCGGTCGTTGCTCTGTTGAGCCTCGGTATGTGCACTATAAAAGCGCTGCAGGATCATGCCAAGGACAATGGCGATATATTTATTATAAACTATGACAGTTTTGATGGTGATGTGGATGACATCTCCACAACGACACAAGCCCCTCGGGAAGCTGGCTATGTGGATCTCGATGAAGTTGTGCGGAACTGCAACGCAAGTTTTATCACACCAATGTGTGAGTCGGGAGAGGGATCTAAAGGATCATAGTTTGGGTGTATTAATAGAGCGACTCTTTCAGCCAATGTCCTTCAGTTCAACACAACAGGAGCTCTGCCAGATGAGAAGGATAAAACAAGCATGGTAAGGGGGAATCAAAGCACACTTTTGATACCACATTCTATTGGCTGAAATATTTCTAGTGCTATTTCCATTGCTTCTTTGAAAAATCCGGCTTAATGGATAACTACAAACTAAATGCAGATCTTGTGCGTAAATATGTTTGGCCGGCCACTGGAGATTCCATCGAAGCTTGTGAGAAACAGGGAAGTAAGTAGCTCCACGCTGGAAAAGTATTCCAAATACATTCAAAAACTTGAATCCATTAGAGGACGAAGCGAATGCCTGTGAGAGAGGCTATGCCATCATCAAGTGCGTTGTCCTGCGCTCCCTCACAGACGCCAGGAACATTCCAGTTGTGTAAACTACAACATTTCGGGTAGAAAATTACAAATTGTTTGTATTAAATGGCTAAATATAACTATGGCCGTGCACAGAGCTCTCTATAAATCTACGTAAAAAGCATAAACTACACTCATTTGTGTCCGTTTCTCTATCACGCCTCCTGCTCGGCGGCTCCACACACCGTTTGGTTGAGCAGGCGACTCAATCTCTTGCCAATGGGCTTGGGGTATTGATTGGTCTTCATCAGGAACTCCTTCGACTGATGCTCAACGGCGCCGTTGTCAAGTTGGTATTTGCAGAGGGCGTGTAGCGGGTTCACTAGCATCTTTCGCAGCTCTGGCTGGGCTTCGAGCACGGCCAGACATTGCGCTGCCGTCTCCAGAGTGCTCAGACAGCCCTCCGTGGGCTGGGTACGTATGATATAGTCGCTGATGCCCACTGATATGAGTTTCACCTGACGCAGTCGATGCAGGGCGGGACTGCTGGCGTAGATGGCCTTTGCCTGTGGCCAGGTTCCATCGATGAGCACCAAAGTGTATGGACCGGCACTGCGATCGATCTCCTCCAAAGGCACAGAATCTTTACTAGGATAGAGGACCAGCGTCTGTGGCGAATCGAAGATTTGCTGCAGTTCCGCATAGTTCTTTTGATTGGGAAATCGTTTGCCCTTGTAGACAACGCATTTTCCCGGCTCCAGGCCCAGCTGGAGCATCAAGGCAGTGCGAAGGGAACGCTTCTCTTCGGCAGGGTGCTGTAGTATCACAATTTGCGAGGCCACCGCCAGCGGTGGCTGAGGTAGGGCGGAGCACCAGCAGACAACAGCGGGTCGCCTGCAGAAAAATAAGCAGCACAAAGATTTTGAAATTTCATAGGCAGATTAAGGCACCTCCCACTCACTTGCACTGTTCGCACTTATCGCGTCCGTCGGGCGTGTCTGCGCTGATGCCAATCAAATCCTGCCAGGCTTCCTCCTCCATTGTTGTCATTGATTAAATTAAATAAATGTCTTACTACTGTTTCGGAATCCGGAAAACCACGGAGGGCCAGGTGGCAACGCTCTGCAGCCACATGTCCACAATAACAGCCCTGTCTCTGGAACAGCTGCGAAGCGCGAATAGGTTTGCTGAGTATGCGGTTGCATATTCATGATGTTAGATATCTCAAATTAATAATCATCATTCATTAAGTTTTAATTGATAATATATATTTAATTAAATAGCTTTTTAACACTATCCTACTACTGCTTAGCAGTAACTCCGAAAAATCATAATAAGCAAACACGTAACAGCACTTATTCAATTCACAATCACTGCACATTGGCAACATTGCCACGCATGAACATGTTAATAGCACCAAACTGTTTTATATTTAGGTTTTGTATATGAATTAAACTAGTTGTTAGGCTTAAAATTATCAAGTATATAGTTTAATAGAAACAAAATGCAAAGCATTGGTTGGACCCTGATTATGAAACGTGGCTGCTTTTGCAGAAAAGAGACGCTCAACATCAATGGCTCCCGCTACACGATTCGGGAAAGGCTGGCACAAGGGTAACCTCTGAAACAATCTCTCTGTTGCATGAATCTGAAAATATCTTATCTATTCGTATCTGTGCACAGGGGCTTCAGTCTGATAGACCTTGGGGAGAATCCTACCACCCGACGGAGCTACGCGATAAAACGCATCACCTGCCACAGCATCGACGACCAGAACATTGCGCTGCGGGAGATTGAAAATTGCAGGAAAATCGACTCGGAAAATGTGATCCGTGTCGTTGATTACGAGCTAAAGGGTCAGGCTGACATCGTCATCAATACAACGAGCACATTGTACATTGTGCTGCCGTACTACAAGCATGGCGCACTTCTGGATCATCTTCAGCTGCGGGCCCGAAAGCAGGACCACATGCCCGAGGCACAGATTGTGCAAATCTTTCTGGGCGTCTGCGAGGGTGTCAAAGCCATCCATGAGGCGAAGCCTGTGCCGCTGGCCCATCGTGATCTGAAAACTGCCAATATATGCTTATCGGATTCGTTTGAGCCCATTATCGTGGATCTGGGCTCCATGACGGAGGCCCGCTTGCAGATTGTTGGCCAATCGGATGCTCAGCGTCTGCAGGATGAGGCCGAGGAGCGTAGCTCAATTGTGTATCGTGCCCCGGAGCTGTTTACCGTCAAAAGCTACTGCACCATTGACGAAAGAACGGATATATGGGTGAGTGGGTAGCTCTGTTGATGGTTGATCATTTAGATAATCGTTTTTTCCTGCAGAGCCTTGGTTGTGTGCTGTATGCCATGTGCTACTTTAACTCCCCATTCGATCCCATTTATGAGCGTGGTGATAGCGTTGCCTTGGCCGTGCTTAGCGGCAATATAATCATTCCAGAGGATTCCATTTATACAGAGGTACAGTGGAAACCTTCTCCATACCTTTCTTCTTTACCTAATCCCTGGCATTTTACTCTTTAGGACATGCACGATCTGATAAACTATATGCTGCGCACGGATCCCATGGAGCGGCCGTTCATATACAGTGTCATCGAACGCACTCACGATCTGATACAGAAACTAGAGGGTCGCGTTTAGCGTCTCTTCTGCTCATTTTACACACAGCCCACACACCCACATCGATTCCAACTCGTCTATAGACCTTTCTTGTATACAGTAACGAACCCTAACACACCGCTATATGTTTTTTGACTACGTATTATTGTAAATTACTTGTAAACGTGCAGAGATTTTGTGAACTTATATGTATATTTAATGATTCTAAATGTATTTTTTGTTCCCACCCACCCAACTAATGATCGTCGCGAGTGAGACCGGGGCAGTTTGTCTCCAGATCCTCGACGCTGTCGTAGCGTGTGCCACACCAGTAGCAAAAGGTATAGGCTGTGCGAAGGTAGCCTGTAAGCAGTTCCAGCTGCTCGAAGGCACTGTACTGCTCCTCCTTTGGGAGCTCCTCTTCTTCTGCGGTCTTGTCTGGCTCTGCTTCACTGTCGCTTTCCTCTTCCTCCTTTGGTTTCGGTGGCCAGAAGAACTCGAGATCAGGCTCTTGCACATTCGCGGCAACATCTAGGGATTCACATGTCTGCTGGCATCGCCTTATATCGTACTGAAGTTTGCGTTCCTCTGCCTTTTGCATGGCTCTCTTTCTGTATGCCTCTGTGCTGACCTCCTCGCTCGAATCAATGCCTGCCCTGTGCAGCAGATGAGCTCTTCGTAGTTCCTGTCGCTTTGCAGTTAGCTCCGCGATGGCTGCCTCTCTGCCCAAGCCACCACGATCGTTTTTTATGGTTATGCCAATGGGTTCGATGCGTGCATCCGCCTGTTTGCCCAGACCACTGCCTGCCTTGTAGCCCATTTTGGCCAGCAACTGGAATCCCTTGTTGTCCGCAGCCAGCGGCTTGTTGAGATTCTGCTGCAGCCGCTCATTGTTCACGTTGGACGTGGCGGCAGCAGCCTCGCGCTGCCGCTTGTGGTGTTCCTGCCGCTTCTTTTGGACTTTGATGGCACGTTTTTTCCCGCGATCTTGCACCAAGCTGGGGCGCACATCCTGCATGCTGGAATTGGAGCATTATAGTCTAGTTGGAGATGTTTGGGAAATACTTACCCGGCCAGGAACTTGTCGGACATGTAATCATCTTCATCGTCGGACATAATTATTGTTGTTTTGCTTTATTTTGGTTTGTTTTTGTGTTGTTCGGGACACGATAAATTAGGTGGCAGCGCTGTCTAACGACCTAATTTGAACGATTTGGCATCCCTACAAGACAGCTGTTGAATTTCGCGGTTGTGTGGCAGCCTCATATTAATTTCCCATGTGCTCCGAAGTCAACATTAATTTAGATATTTTATTTACACGTTTTATCAATTAAATAAAATATAATGGGGGTGGTAAGTACTTAAATTTATATAAATAAGCTCACATTAATCAAATGCAACTTTTCTAACTGTAGAAAAAGGTGAAAATCAGTTCAGTGAAGCGTGCGGCCCATCTGAAGTCGAAGAAAACGCCGCTCACAAAACAGCAACAAAATAAGATTAAACAAAAAAAGGAAAACTTGCGCTCAAAACGCGATCAGGGACCTAGTATATTCTCACAGAAGGCGCACAAGCGAGATAACTTGGCCCAGCGCAAGAAGCACAATAAATTATCATCCCTGGGTTTGGCTCCTCTGGAGGCTGACAACGACGACGACGGTGACGATGATAATCTGCTGGATAACATTGCGGACATGCTGGATGGCGATGATCTTGCGATGCTCAATGAAAACAAGCGCAAGAGGAAGGCCAAGACAGTCGAGGATGTGGATGATCAGCAGCAGTCTGTAGGCCTGGAGATGGCCTACGCCACGGCCAGCAAAAAGGAAGAGGAAACGCAAAAGATCAAGGTTAATCTGCTACCTATCAAGTCCAGGGATGGCGAGATTATAACCAGGAGCACAGAAGTGGACTATGTGCCCAAGCCAAAGCTGCAGAAGCAAGAGGAGGATTCGGATGTGGAGGTCAACGAAGAGGATGACGACGAGGCGAGTGTATATACCGATAGCGATGATGATGTGGTCAACGATGAGGCTGCAGCTCCGATAGTGCCCACAAAGAAAATGATTTCCACCACAGATCTGCTGATTGCCCGCCAGCAGGAGATCGAGCGTCAAAAGTATCGCATTGGTATCATCTGTTCGGGCATGCTGGAGAAGCCAGAGGATAAAATGCGCAACTTCCATGCCCTGTACGAGCTGATGGACGAGATAAACCCTGCCAGCGGGCTGCCCAACCTAATGCCTGTGCGCAAGCTGGCCATGATCTCGGTTACGGAGATCTTTAAAGACATTCTGCCCGAGTATCGTGTGGGACAAATAGATACCAAAATGCAAACCGTGCGCAAGGCCACCCTGGAGCGAGTCACCTTTGAAAATGCGCTGTTGCAGCAGTTCAAGAAGTTTCTGCAGAAGATGGAGCAGTTCACGGCTCAAGTGAACAAAAGAGGAGGCCTGAAGAATCCGCAAACCGTGAAACTGGCCACCGTGGCTGTGCAGTGCATGTGTGAGCTGCTGGAGGCCCATCCCTACTTCAACTACGTTCAGAACATTGCCCAACTGCTGGTCTATATGCTCAATTGCCACTATGGCACCATGCGTCAAGCCGTCAATCAATGCTTTCGCACCCTCTTTGCCAACGACAAGAAGCTGGACATGACTCTGTTTATTGTGCGTCGCATCAATAATCTGATCAAAACGAAACAGAACAATGTCCATGTCGAGTGCATCACCTGCATGATGGGTCTCAAGATCAAGAATGTCAATCTGGATGCCGAGAAGGAGAACGAATTGAAGCAAAAGAAGCTGGAATCGCACCGCCAGCGATTAATCAGCATGTCCAAGAAGGAACGCAAGCGGAGAAAGAAGCTAACGGAGTTGAACAAGGAGCTGGAGGAGACCCGCGCTGAGGAGAACAAGCAAGTGAAGCTACAGAAGCTCACGGAGATCATCAAAATGGTATTCACCATCTATTTTCGTGTGCTGAAGAATGATCCCACATCGCGTGTGCTCAGCGCCATCCTGGAAGGCCTCGCAGAGTGAGTTTGGTTCTTGTTCTCACCCTTGAAGCCCTCTTAATCTTTTGGTTTCTCTTACAGATTTGCTCATGTCATCAATCTGGACTTTTTCTCTGACCTTATCAATGTGCTCAATCAGATACTCGAGGAGCAGGACGAACTGGGCTATCGGGAGCGTCTGCACTGCATACAGACCATTTTTGTTATTCTTTCGGGCCAGGGCGAAGTCCTGAACATTGATCCTATACGTTTCTATCAGCACTTTTATCGGAACATGCTGGCCGTGCAGGCGGGCAAGAATCACGCTGACTTTACCATCATTCTGCGCACTCTCGATGAAGTGCTGGTCAAGCGGCGCCGCAACATGAGCCAACAGCGTCTGATGGCCTTTGTCAAGCGTCTTCTGACAGGCAGTTTGTATCTGCTGCATAATGGCACTCTGGCGACATTGGGAACCATCAAGCAGACATTCCAGTTGACTTCTGTGCTGGATACTCTGCTAGACACGGACTGCAGCATTGGCTCGGGTCGTTATGATCCCGAATTGGAGGATCCCGAGTACTGCAATGCGGCTGTAACGTCGCTGTACGAGCTGACCATTCTGGCACGTCACTACCATCCTACAGTGCGGCGCCTGGCCATGCATATTGCCAATGGTGTGCCCGCCTCGGGTGACGGAGCACTGCCCACGGATATTGGCAAACTGTGAGTAAACCCTTGCCTTTGATTAATTTAATTTAAATTTGTTTTTTGTCTTTCTTCAGCACCTCACATGAACTGTTCACACAGTTCGACAGCACGCAAATGGCCTTTAATCCAACGATACCGCTGCCAAAAGCAGGACAACCCAAACTGAAAAGGGGCAAGCCCATGTTTATTCGATCGGATTTCAAGCGGGAATACAACAAGAAAGAGGGGAAGTTTACACTCTCTAAAGACAAGCCAACATTGCAATTGGATTTTCTTAGTGCACTACAATAAAGACGAAATGGAATGAGATAGAAAAAGATTACAGAAGAGCTTTTGGGTAGTTCCAAGAGCTAAAATTGACAAAAAAGTGACAATAACTTCAACAATTTCACAGTAAAAACATTCTTTATGGTATATTTAAAATGGAATGGAAAGTACAACGAATCTGTTACTAAATTGTGTGTGTGTGTGTGTGTTTCGGAGCTCCTAACAATCTAGTAAGATGTTGCAATTATCGTCTAAGCCTAGGTATGCACAGTGTCTATTGCCATATAACCGGGTACAAGTGCCAGAGGGTCTCCTATGCGGCGCCTCGTTGACGCTGTCCTGCATTCGCTGGCGGCAAATATTCTCGGTTGCCGCCTGCCACAATCGGTTGCTGCCCGAAGCCGCCCACTCCATTGTCGGGCAGGACACCGGCGGCTGTGGCCAGGAGACCAGCAGCTGCGCCAGCGGGTGCCAGTCGATTGGTTACAGAAGAAGCCTGGACATTGCCTGGGAGAATGGCAGGACGAATTAGAGCACTTGCGCCGTAAGGGGATTGTGATTGTGCCGCAGGCGTGGGTGTGGGCGAGGGATAGGATCCGCGACCTGCATTGTAGCCAGCCACCTGGGGCACTCCAGTGGCTCTTAAGGCACCGCCTCCAGTTGCAGTGGCCGACACAGTTGCTCCATATGCCGTCGTTGCGGCGACTTGTCCCTGACGATAGGCATTCGCATTGACATTGGCGCCAGTGCCTCCGGAGTAGTCGTAGATGTAGGCATTGTTGGCGTACAAACTGGGGGCCGAGACGCAGTCGTACTGGTTCCACCACACGCAGACGAGTGTCTCCTGGCTGAAGACCGTGCCGTTCGGGCAGAGGAAGGAGTAGGTCCGGTTGAGGGCACAGATGTGGAAGACCTGGCACTGGGCCTCGATATCCGCATAGTATCCGGGCAGGGGCTGCTGTGTGCAATCGAAGTTTGTGCGTGGCACCTGTGCGTAGACGGGATAATCCACACCCGGTGTACCCGGAATGGCCGAATAGTCGCCTTCTCCATCGCTGTAATCGCCACCATCGCCAGTTCCACTTGGCACACGTCCAGCAGAGACTTGGGCATTGCCGTACTGGGAGGTCTGTGGTCCGTAGGGTCCACTGCGAGAGGGCGCTGTAGCAATGCCTCCTGCCGAGGGTCTCCTTGGGATACTTCCGGTTCCGCCAACAACGGCAGGTGCACCAAAAGCAGTCGTCGCCTGTCCGCTTGGCGTAAAACCCACAGCGGGAGAAGGGAACAAACCCGATCCATAGGCTGTTGTTGCGGGTGCTGGGGTCAGAGGCAAGGCTGTGCCTGTGGGATAGGCACCAGGGGTGAGCCGTCCACCGGCGGTAACACCTCCAGCACTGGCCAGCTCCGGTCGCCCATAGTTGTAGCCACTTTGAGCCTGATCAACAGAACACACTTGATGGGTAAGAAATGTATTCCTGGGGACAGACACGCCCACTCACCTGGACTTGCAATTGGGCTAAGCTTCCGCTCCAGAGCAGCACAAGAACTGGAACGAACATTAGAAAGCGATTGTCGTGAGTGGGAGTGGAAACTGTGGCCAATACTGGGCTCCGTGTGATCTGTGCTGTGGGCCAGTCGACGCACAAAATCGAAATGAACGCCACAGCCACAGATCGACAGCAAAACCGAAGCGAAGTGAAGTGAAGAGTTTCGTGTCCGTATTAGGGCCAAGTACGTTGCGATTCTAGCGGTCTGATAGCGCGCGTCTTAGACGGTTCTGCATTGCGATCTTTATTTATCAGCTTCCTACTCAGCCAGAGGCACACAGTGGTACAAGTAAGACATGAGATATGGTAAGAATTCCACAAAGTTTGAATCGAGAAAGAGTTAGATGGCTCTCGAAATGAGAGGCGAAGAGGCTGCTACATCCCTCCGATTGCTCTGTAATTTCGTAGCCTAACGCTCCTTTTATATGATAATTTGGTGTCCTATTCCACTGTGCGTATTGCAAGAATAACGCACTCCAACATCAATTGGCTGCCAACAACAATCTCTCGAGCTCTGGGCACTGCCCCAAGACGCATGCATCGTAAATATGCAAGGCAGCAAAAACTTAGACAGACAGACGCCCTCCAAAAAGGAAGTGCTAATAATGATGGGGCGGACAGCCGATCGCTCGTCACTGTTGAGTACCGCCTCAGGCCCCAGACCTGGGCCTACTGCTGGACTGGGAGTGGGTCTGGGTCAGCAGAACGCATTGGCCAAGACTCACCTGCGAAGACTCCACAGAAGCAACGATGAACTTGCATAATGTTGTCCGAAATGAGAATGAGAATGTTTATATTCTCCGTGTGTGATTTTGATATCCTTTCAATCCTTCGGCTACGTGGTTCACTCGGGCACTCGTCGACAGCAACTGTGGGCGAACCAAGAACGCTGCTAGAAATTTATACCAATTTCCAATTCGCTGTAGTTCTCAGGCATTGCAATGGTTGCTGCTGCATCTTTGCCATATTTATGTGGCAGCTGCCCCCAGACCAACAACGACGACCACGACGACAGTTCGTCAGTTCGTTTGGTGCCTGCGCTTTAGCAGATTTATGACCCCTGGATTATCCATTGTTGTCATGGTGCTGGGGGGGCTGGGGTCTTCGGTTTAGCAGTTATCAGAATTCATATATCACCGACCAGACCCTATACCATTTGTACAAGCAATAAAATGCATTACGTATACGTAATATTTAGCTACATAGACGCCGCGCCGATCAATTGAATATTATGGCCATTTCAAGTGCAATACAATTTTCAATTCGATTTGGTTTGTCCTTCAGCGCTCTTTTAGAATGGATCGCGGGATGCTGCAGAATTATTTTGTCTTGCGAAAATGACAAAAATATTTAAATTTCGTTTGATTACATTGTGCATTTTTATGAGATTTGTTCTATTCTGACCTTCCCGATGCGGTGTCTTCAAGATTTATATTAGAGCTGCGGAAAAGCAGCAGCCATCATGCTCGTATTTGTGTCAAGGAGACAGTTATGGATGAGTTTTTTGGGATAACAGAAAAGGAGTTATGGATTGTTCTGAACAATATTTAAATGGTTTAATCAGTGTAGTGGAAAATCTTCTGGTTTAAGACATTTAAATAATGTATCTTCTTGAAGACCTGTCTCCCTAAGAGACCTGGCAAATTATACCCAATTCTTGCATTAATTTCCCTCTATTTTTCAGACCTTAAAACACTTTAAAGTCAATATTTTTTGTATTTATTTTTATATGTACTTTATTAAGTTTAAATAAATATTTACAAACAGAACAGCAAGACATATAGATGGATACAAAATAGATCGCTCATACTGGATACTGGATGGAAGAGTTTGTGGTTTGTGTGTTTTTGTAGTGTGTTTTCTTTAGTTAAGACTAAAATATGAAACTAATTCAATACATCGCTCGATTATATAGTAAATTGTATACTTAATACGGAAACTGCTTGGCTGGGCATTCAGGAATTAACCAAGTCTATGCCTCGAGTATTTCAGGGGGAGTATTTCGATTCATTTCGTTTTCGTTTCGAACTTTTACTTATTTACAAACTATTTTTTCGAAAATTGCATTGGCTAAACGAAATTAATTAACAAGATATACAATAGTGTAAATGGTTTGAGAGAAATCATAAGGAAAATCGTAAGAATTAAATTAAAATACATCAAACTGAAGAGTGAAGATAAAGTATGGAGTGGAGTTGACTAAAAGTTAGGCATTAACTCGCAAAAGTTTTCGCATATCGCTAGGAACCCGCCAACGATCTCCTCCGGCCTACCGCCTGCTGCTGAACTTCGATGCCAGCGAATATAATGACTTGAGCAGCTCCAGGGCCCGGCGATCCGAGTTGCCCTCGAGTGGCAACAGCGTGGGTGCCACAGTTGTCGCCGCCACCCCCAAGTCATCCTCAATGTCCTCCACTCGGATCTCAAACTTGGTCGTCTCCTCGTTGCTGCCCGACCCCGGTGTGGTGCTGAACAGCGGCACATCTGTGGTGGTCGTATAGCCCGGCGTGGTGCTGGTAAAGTACTCGCCACCACCATTTCGTCGGAATGTTGTCACCGGAATGCGTGTGGTGGTGGTGGCCAGCCTTTGTCTGGAGGATTTCCCTGGCGCCGCTGGAATTTTGCTATCAATATCGATGAGAGCATTGAGCAGATGCTTCCTGGAACGCTCCAGTGCCTTTCCATTGTGATCGTCGCAGGTCTGGATGAGCAGCAGCAGCAGGCTCAACACCTGACGATCGTGCTCCGCCTTGGCCATCACATTGCGCAGATGCAGCGCCTCCTGCTCGTTGAGGCCGCCAAAGAGCTTGTTGGCAATGCGCTGCAGGCCACTGCTAGAGGGCAACGCATCCCTGGGTATGTCGTAGCTCTTGAAGATGTCCTCCCACTCAAAACGCGAAGGTGTGGGCGTTGTGGTGCCCACGCCCGACAGCAGCCGTGGAAGGTATGTAAATGGGGCCTTTGTTGTGGTCGTTGAGGTGCGTTGCTCCTTCATCAGGCCATCGTTGATGGTTAGGGGATCCAGGAAATCGGTCTGAGACTTCAATGCCCACGGATGCTCTGTGGGCTTGTGGGTAGTGATCAGCTTTTGGGGCCTGGAATCCTTCAGCAGATCATTGCGTGACTTCACAAAGGATTGGGTCTGCTGTTGCTGCAGGAACTCGTCGCCCTCTCCGGAGTCCGCACTGGGCGGGGAGAGCTCTGCCGACAGTTCCAACTCCTGTCCACGGCTCGTGCTAAGCTCGTAGAGCTCCGTCGTTGTGGAGTACTCTGGCGCTGGTGTCGAATCGAACTTGTGGTTGATCTCCACCGCAATGCTCTGGGGCGTGGGTGTAGTAGCCACGGGAACGGATTTGGTGGGCAGATAATACTTGGCCGTTCCATCGCTGAAGAGTGAGGAGTCTGTTGTGGTCACTGGCTTAAAGTTTGGTGTAACTGGTGGCTCTGTGGGACGTGCACGGGCCGCCAGCTCAGCGCGGAATGTCGCAGGATTATCCAGATAGCTGGACAAAGCATTCGAGAAGATCTGGGCAATCTTACGCGACTCGGGCTTCTCCGCCAGAGCACCAATGGAAGAGCCAGTGGTTCCAATCTGCGGGAACTGCTGGTACTTTGAGCCCTGCTCCGATTCTGGCAGAGATTGCGTCTCATTTGGGTTGGGCGAGAGCAGGCCAGTGCTGATGTCCGTCTCCCCGCCGACTCGTCCCTTTGCGGGCTTCAATCCAAAGAGGCTGCTGTACTTCTGGACGGTGTTGTCACTCAGCAGACTGTGCTTGATGTCATCCGCATCCTCACTGATGGCTGGCGGATTCTCCGAGGTGGTCAGAATGGCTGTGGTATCCGATGGCTTGGCTGTGGGCAGTGGCGGTGGCTTCACTGAGAGCTTCGTCTTTGTCTTTTCGGGTTTCTCGGACTTCTGAGGCTTTCCCAGAGCATTGGACGTTTCGTTGTGTTCCTGTGCGAAATATTTGGCCAGGGTAACCAAAGCATCTGGTCCGGAGGATGGTGGAATCTCCAGGCCAACTCTGGCTGGTGCCGCTGCCGCTGCACTCAGCTCCACATCCTCAAACTGATCTTTCAACAGGTTCATCGTCTTCAGCATGTCCTGCACATTGCGGAACACAGACTCCTCCTTCACTGGATTGGGCGCAAAGAGCAGCGCATCCTCTCCTGCTGCAGCTGCTGCATTGCCTCTCGGGGAGATGGCGCTCTTTGGCAGATAGGTGGGTCCACTGCTCGTTGCCGATGGAGATGGCGTAGTTGGTAGATAATCGCGACTCTCACTCTGCTTGCTTGGTGGTCGGAACTCCCCCGAACTTGCCACATCGTAGTGATGCCTCATGCCAATGATCACCGGCCTGTAGGTGCTGTCCAGCTCGATGCTGCCACTGGCTGTGGGCTTGATCTTGGGCGCCACCGACGATTCCAGGAATATGCCAGAGCTGGCACCTCCAAAGCGATTCGGATTCGGTGTCGTGGCAGAGTGTCCTCCCTTGATGTAGTTTAGCTTTCCCTCCGTGGCCTTGGCTTTCACCAGGCTTGGCACAGTGGGCGTGTAGAAGGGCGTGGATTTGCTGGGCTCAAGTCGGCGGACGGTGGAGTAGCTGCCAGCCGTGAAGTACGGAGTCGTGTGTTGAACGGAACGCGTGGAGTGAGCCTCATAGAACTCAGGCTTGTCCTTTAACTGCGAGCCAGAGTTGGGCTTATCCTTGAGTTGGGACGTAGAGGTGGGCTTATCCTTAAGTTGGGAGCCAGAGTTGGGCTTATCCTTCTGTTGAGAGCTGGCGGTGGTTCTTTCCTTTTGCTGGGAGCTGGCGGTGGGTTTCTCTTTGAGTTGAACAATGGGCTTTTCCCTCTCTCTTTCCTTGCTGTGCTCTTCACTGCCGCTCTCCCTCCATCTGTGCTGTCCGCGCTGTCCCTGCCTTGCCCGTTCTGTGGATTCGCCACGTGGCAGTCCTCTTTCCTGGGATGCGGCCAGTGGGGTTCTTTCCTGAGAGGCGAGTGGTGCCCTTTCCTGGGATGCCAGGGGTGCCCGGGTTTCCTGAGGGCCCTGTGAAGCTCTCTCCTGAGAGGCTAGTGGAGCCCTTTCCTGGGACACCAATGGCGTCCTACTCCTTGAGGATTTCAGCACCGTGACATCGTCGTGGCTGTTCCGATTGGAGTCGCTGCCTTTGTTGTTGCGACGCTTGCCCGAGCCGCTTACAAAGGAGGAGCTCTCGGCGGTGATCTGGGTCTCGTGGTCGTTGCTATTATTGTCGATGCTGGTCAGAACTTTGCGCTGCTTCTCCCCGGACACATCGTCAAAGTCTACGCTCTCCACGGAGGCGGGCACATCCTCCGTAGAATCGATGCGTCTGTCGGATTTGGTACGGGGACCAGCCCTCGCCTGCCCGGCGACAGGAGTGACCTTTGGCTTGATGTTAAGGCCACCGCCGACAATGTTGAATCCCTGGACAGGCACTGATGGACGCACTCGATGGACACGCTGCTTGTTGAGGATCTCAGCGCTCTCGGCATAGTAGCCAGAGGATCCCAAACAGTTCACCTTGAACCACCAGTCGCAGGTGAGTTCGCTCTGCTGGAAGATGGTGCCATTTGGACAGAGGAACGAGATCTTGCGTCCCTCTTCGCAGATGTGAAAGACCTACAAAGGCAGCAAATTAATAACAAGATTCTCCTTTGACTAGAGGCACCACTCACCTGACAATCCGTTTCCATATCGGCAAAGTAGCCATTCCCGAAAGAGCGACAGCTAAAGGAGGTCTTGGGTATCCTGGGATAGATGGGAAAATCAATGCCCGGTCTGCCCACCACACCCTGGTACACCTCATAGTCCACATCCTCATCGGAGGCGCGCTTCTTCAGGTGATGCTTGTGCTCATTGCAGTTTGTATGCGACTCGTAGCGCTCCTCCTCGAACTGTGTGGCACCCGTTTGCTTGGCCAAAATGCGGGCAGGTGTGCGGTACTAAAACAGAAATGGGAAAATATGTTTAAGATTAACTGAATATAGTTTTTGGGGTATAAACTAACCTTTGTTTCTGCGCTTGTGTGGCCTACAACTGCCAGCAGGAGAAGAGCTGTAAAGGATGAACGAAACATAATTATAGGAAATTCTAGAAAACTCATAAACCCATAATTTAAATTAACAATTATTCGCTTGCTTATTATTATGAATGGTTCATCAACATTTTCGTTATGGGATTCTCCTTCTGTTTAGAATGTCTTCTCTCGGACCTTGACTTTTCCATTCCATTCCAAGAAAAAATATCATATGCAGACATTGCCAAATTACGCAAACGGTGACTGTGTATGGCTTAGATGTGACTGACCTTAGACCTCCCCTCCTAATGCAATAATTAAATCTTAAACCATAAAAACAATTAAAGAAAGAAACACAAATAAAACAGTCATGATGTAGCCACAGAAGAAGATGTCAGCGACACCATGCACAGATGCACAGACTGTCCGAAGAGGATGGAGACTATTGAATAACCAAAATAACCACCAGACTCAAGGTCCAATTGATGCATAATCACAGTGATTAAATGAATCATCGGCGGATGGATGGTATGGTATGGTATTGGATGGGAGACCCCGTGAACGATGAAGACGTTGAGGGTGTTTGCTGTTTGCTTTAAACAAATTAAACAATTGCCCATAATTTATGTCCGTTGATTGGCAGCCGGGACTCAAAATTCGATTCGGCCCAATCGCATTAACCATACGCCACGTTGTACAACTATTTCGGGGGGTATCTTTCGGTTTTGTTTTCGATTCGTGAGCCACACAGCGGGTCACACAGCGTATGGCCAGAGCTTAATTGAGAGGCGCTGTCGATGGGCGCGTAATTACTCACAGACGGGCCCCGAAAACCAATCGGACTATTGTTGACTTTGCCTACTCTGCCACTCTGCCAGTCTCGGGGGAGATGAGCTGTCACTTATGCGTCGGCTGCCCGATGCCGGTCGCTCTGGCATTTGGGTCTTGGCCGCCAATGTGTCTGTCCTAATGAGCCGTTAAAAATTGCATTTCCCAAGCATTCATCTCGTCCGATCCATTAATTCAAATCAAAGTCACATTTAATCTAAGTCTCTCTACATTTGTTTTGTTTGCTTAAACAATTTTTGTCGCACGCCAAAAAGAAAACAAACAAAAAGCAAAACACCGCTAAGACAGCTCACGCAACTGCTGGCTAAGACAAAGGCCAGACGCAATCTTGGCCGGGTTTGAGTTTCGGTTTGAGCCATGCCGCCCCCGCCATGGCACACGCATGCGGCCAGAAATGCGTTGCTGTTACCTTTTGGCTGTCAAGAGCGTAGAGTGGATGTGCCATTGGCTGGGAGATCTATCATGGGAAAAATGACGAGAGACTGACAAGGTCAAGGATGTCATAGTTTAAATGCTGATGAAGTTGTGAAAGTTGTATTCATATTTTGATGGGTTTCTTGATGATGAAAGACCATATTCTAACCATATTCACATTAACTTACCACACAACAAATTGAGCTGCGTACACCGCATTTTGTATTTGGAATTGCCTGGAATTAAAGAAGGAGCAACAATACTTTAGCTGGTTAACAAAATTTGAATATTTATTCCGCAATATCGTGGGAGAAGGCAAAATAAATAATTTGTTAGCATTAAAAAAAAAAACACAGGTAGGTACATACCTTATTGGGCAATAGTAGTAGAAATTATAAAAACAGAAATAATAAATGTACTCTGGGCTTGCACAAATCAGAGAAGTAGAGAAGCCAGAGAGCCCCAAAAGTTGTCAATGTGCCGAACTAAGACGAACAAAGCGAACAAAAAGGCTCACAGCCGATTGCATAATTTGTGGAGAGGTAGGGAGACATAGAGATACGCCCGCAGACGCAGACGCATGCAAAAGATGCGAAATTTATGGCAGATAGTTAGAGATCTCTACACCTTATATAGATGTCGGATAGGCAGATTGTGGAGGGGAGATATGCAGATTGGGGAAGGGTAGATGTGTATGCAGATTGGGGGAGATTGCATCTTGGGTACGTTGTACCACAGGGCGTATGCGCCATAAATTATTGCATTTTAGGTCTGACCAGGAACTGCACAGGCAGCTGCTGCGCCTCCAACTAGGAGTGCTGCATCCAGTCCAGCAGCCAGTCAGTCAGTCAGTCAGTCATTCAGCCATTCAGTAAGGCAGTCAATCAATCCGATCCCCTCCTAAGACGTTCACTTTGGGGTATCGTATCTGGCTGGCTTCCGTCAGCTCGTTTCTGCAGCTGTTGTTGTCGCTGAATTTGTTGCCGCTGACGCTGACGCTGCCACTGCTGCTGCTGCTGCTGCTGCTGCTGTTGTTCCCGTAGTTTCTGCGTACTTTGCATAATTTCATATAATTGTTTTAATTTGCACAACACAGCAAACAATATCAAAAAGTTGGGGAGACAACACGATAGATCAACACCAACCAACCAACCAACCGTACAGAACCGGCTTGGCGCTCAGTGACACTCTTTTTGTTTTCAATTAAATCATTTTCAATGGTTTAAGTAATTTATTTGCTTTACGCAATCCTAAAAAACAAACACGTAGCTACACTTTCAATAACAATAGCATTAATCGAACAGAATCTCTAAGCGAAACATAAATTTAAATTGAAATTAGCTGCAGCATTGTAGGGGGAGGAGTAGGAGTCAGAGGAGGAGGCTGCTGAGATTCTGCCTTTCAGCATTGTCTATCTGTTGGATATTCTTCAGTTGCCGAAATTGCTTTTTTGTATTTAAATTAGTTGATTGCCTTGGGGGCTGGGTTCGCTTCTCTACTGCATTGCAAATATTCTCACACCTAAATTTAAGTTTCATCAAAATAACGTAACGTAATGTAATGTACACAGAAAACTAAATTGCGCCAGTGTCATCATGTAACGGCGTTGCATCAGACTTGACATTAAAATTTTAATAAAAGATTGTAAATTAAGGCGATTAGCCCAAACATTTAGTTAAAGTTCAAGACGCTGCCTCGCGGACAATCTCGTTTTGTCTGCTCAGATTTGAATTTCAATTCACGATTTTCAATTTGCAAATTACACGACCGAACGAGGTGGTTTTTGTCATTGTCAAGGCTTTTGGCCATTGAATGGGTTTAAATTGGCGATCAATTGATGAAGGTTGAAACTGTTCGAGTGGGTTTAGGCTAGAGAAATCTATGGAAATCACTAGAAATCCATGAAAGAGTTCAATCATCTTTGGAAAAAAGCACACAGAGAAGGCCAATGAAGAAGTGCAATCATCTTTTGGGGGGAAATCTTCAGGGAAAGCATAGAGCGGGAAAAATTTCGATGCTCAAGTCACAGGCACAAAAAATTGTCAACGACAACAATGACAAATAAGGAAGTTTCTCCGCTAAATCTACCAGCATCATCACCAGCAGCAGCAACGAAAAAATTGTCAACGCCATGGCTGGGGCCATGGCAACAGCAGGTGTTGAAGCGAACAACCAATGCGGCACCAGTAAAAATAATAAGCTAGCGCCAGTTAAGTGTCGACAACAGAGGTTGCCTTGCATTTTCCTTGAGGCATGCCGCACGCCAAACGCCACGCTGAGGGTCTCTGCAATCAAAAATTTGGTTCCGCCTTCAACACATGCGCCATGCCAATCCATGACATGCCATGCAACACCTTGAGCAGATATCATCCAAAGACAAAGTCGGGGGCAGAGTGGAAGCTGGAGAGATGGAGAGATGAAGATATGCTGAGCTGAGCTGAGCTGAGAGATGGATATGCTAAGGACGCAGTCGATGATGCATCAGTGGATCACTCACTGCCTGGCTCACTCTCTCTTTCTCTCTCTCTCGGGTTGCAGCCAAATGTCTGTTAAATCGTTTTAACCTTTTTGTCAAGTTGGCGCTTAACCTTTACGGTCGCTGGTGCTGACATGAAGGAAGCATTTGTTGTACTTTTTTGCTCATGTTGTTGCTCTAGTGTACTGCACATCGCACATTGTCTTGTGGCACACACACACACACACACAGAGTGGAGTGTTGCAACCCGTACAATCCACAGAAACTAAGGCAAACATTTTCTGCATGTCTTCTACGTGTTATTCCAAGATTTGATTTATTTGTTTTAGGTTTTCGTGCTTGTGGCATTGTTAGGGGCTTATCCGGCTGTTTATTTGCTGAAAGCCAACCATTCTTGCACTGGCACTTGTGTGGCCTTCTCGCCAGATAACTACTCCTACCCGTAGTTTTTATTTTATTTTATCTGTAGCTCGTGTGCAGGAAAATTTCACCTTTACCGAAAATTCATTATGAAACGGCAGGCAACGGCAGTGGCCTGGCCGCCTGACTAACTGCCTGCCAATTCCTGTTGCATAAAATTGCATAAAGTCAGCCGGAGCGCATCTTCAAACTAACAAAAACAAAACAAAAATCTAAAACTTGATTCGGGGAGACTTTTGCTGGCGACTGGGAGTGCCATGCAGGTGCGGATGGATATGCTGGTCATTTGGCTAATGGTGGGAGAGAAATTTCGAATGCAAGTCAAGTGGAGAGGCCACCGGCATCCTTGGGAACACAAATTGTTTGCACATAAATGAAATTTAGAGAATGGTTTGCAGCCATTTATCAGCCGCCTTTATAGCTAGTTCCTGTTTCTAGTGCTAAACTTTGACACAAGCAAATGTTATGCTAATTAGTTTATAATTAATTACTCCATCAGCAAAGTGCTACCAACATGCTGGCGTAGACTGGACCGAAATTTAAGTGTTAAGCATTTCAAATGGCAAATGCGGCAGCTAATGCTTTATTTTTCGGGCGAATAAATTGTGTGAAAAATGTCATTATAAATGCATAAAAGTGTAGGCAAATCGCTCGGCTTGTTTTCGTTGCTTCCCATGGCAAATGTTTTGAAAGTGCCGCCCATTGTGCATTTCTGGCTTTATTTATTTTACAGGAGATTTGGCAAGCAGGCATTTTGTTTGCTTTTGTTATTGTTTCCAAAATAAAATTGTTGCGCAGCAGGCAGCAATTAAAAGCGTATTTTATATTGGCACATCCCCATTCCCGCCCCAGCGATAGAGATCACTTTTTTCGGGACAGCCCAAATGAAGCTCATAAAATTTTTGGAGACTCATAAATCATTCGAATGATGTGCGTTTATATACGAGTATTTTCACAATATATGCGTATATTTTGGTACATTTCGGGGCAGGTCCAAATAAATTCATAATAGGATTACCGAATAAATATCTGAGTAATGGTACCTGCATATCTCGTACGACATGGCAGCTGCTGTGGGCCCTGAGAAATGGGTCGGCAAAGCTTTATCAAAATTAAAAATTAAATAAAAATAATAAATTTATGACCTGATGTTTCGCTGTGACATTTTGCGTTTTCAACAATTAATCAGAAACTTCAAAAGCGTTTAGTTATCCCTCACAAATCTTCCCCCGTGAGCCACCATTAAAGTTCATCTGCATGAAAAATCCCAAGTGTGAATATGCGTCAGACAAGAAGACATGTAAATGTTGCAATAACGTAACTTTTTGTAGCTCGTGTTGGCTTTTTTTCGTTAAAAGATTCAGCCAAAGGCCGGCAGATAGCCAGGGAAGGCACCCAGACAGAAGACAAGACACCCAGACCACAGTGGTGGCGGCTGCCTCTGATGATGCTGCTGCTGCTTCTGCTGATGCACTGACCTACGTGTCGCAGATGCACTCAGACATGAGTGTACACAACTCTTAGTGGCAATTATTGCTGCAACTTAACAGTTTTTCGGTAGGTGAAGGGAAGGGGGGGGGGGGCACCCCGGAGGGGGCGCGGCAATGATTGCATTTCATAGCCGCCAGAGTTCGACGTGCTAATAGATTTTGAGGTCAAATGCAATCGTTTTCAGACTGCTGCAGCTACTGGCTATTTTTTTGCCCTCGTTGATACAATTTTTCGGTTAGTTTTTTGCACAAGAATTCTTGTGCATTTCCGTGAAGCACTTTTTGTGGGCTCTGCTCTTCTCATTTGCAATTTGTGTACTTGCTGGAGCAAGAACGGCGGAGGGGGGCAACAACAAAAAATTTTAACTCTGTGGCAGGCTGGAGGCATAGCCAAAGTCACTTTTGACGCTTCGTGGCAGCCGCCTGTCAACTGTTTCACACTTGGCCACAGGCCCCAGACCGCCCATTGAGAGCGGACTGGATTGGAGATTGAGGATCGGGGATAAACTTACATGGATCTAAATTTGCTGACGATTTGTAAAGCAGCAGCAAACAATTTTCTTTATGGGGGGAACTTTGTTGAATTGTTGCGCCCCAGCAATTCTTCATGCAAGAGCTGCTGCTACTGCTGCTGTTGCCGCGGGACACATGTACTCTCCCGCTGATGTTGGAACCTGTCCCAATTCATATTCATTTGCATGCAGCCAACCCCGAGGGACGGCACTTGGATGCTACTTAATTATCGGTTAAGCATATTTTCTGTTTGGTTATTCAGCAGTTCTCCAAAAAACACTATTTGTCTGGCAGTTCATAAAAAACGCTGTTGTAATAACAAGGGTTAACCAAGTAT